ATTACAGGTTATAAGGTTTAGGTTATGGAGTTATGGAAGGTTTTTAGGTTGTGGGAGGTTGTGGGAGGTTGTGAGTTTATAAGGTTATTACAGGTTATTACAGGTTATTACAGGTTATTACAGGTTATGGTAGGTTATGGAAGGTTGTGGAAGGTTGTGGGAGGTTGTGGGAGTTGTGGAGTGTTATTATAGGTTATTGCAGGTTATTACAGGTACGGTTATGAAGGTTGTGGAAGGTTGTGAAGGTTGTGGAGGTTGGAAGGTTATAGGTTACAGGAAGGTTATGGAGGTTACAGGTTATGGTAGGTTATGGAAGGTTGTGGTAGGTTGTGGTAGGTTGTAGAGGTTGTGGGAGCTTATTACAGGTTATTATAGGTCATTACACGTTGTGGAAGGTCACATTATGTTATTACAGGTCATTACAGGTCAATAATTTAACATAACCTGAAATCTAAACAAACACTACTTGAACCAAATCAACCAATCAAACCAAACACCAACCAAATCTAACCAAAATCTAACCAAAATCTAACAAAAACCTAACCAAATAAGAGAACTTCCCTCCCCTCCTAGGTGGGCCAGATGGAAGTTTGGAGAAATACAACTTGGAGGAATTGTTGGAGGTCGACCTCGTGGGAGACGTCGAGTGATACTTGATGTGGTCTTGACTCCAGCCTCTGAGGATACTGTTGTGAGAACCTTTAAGGTGAAGTTCTTATAAATTGTAAATTATATAAAATTATTTTTTTTAACAATATCATCTCCCTCTCCCCACCTCGACCACCCCTCACTGCCCTCCACCCCTCACAGAACCCCCCCGCCCCAGCAACACTCATGCCCAGGTCAACGCAGGGTTCAGACTGCAGGTGGACGCTACCAACGCACATACAGTCACAGGGTCTCCTATTATTGCTTATGGAGGCGTTAACCCTTCTTTCGTGAGTAGAAATTGATGATCTGGGGTAAAATTGATGGGGAATTGATGATCTAGGGGTAAAATTGACGTCAAATTGATGATCTGGGGTGAAATTGGTGAAATTGATGATCTGGGGGTAAAATTGACGTCAAATTGATGATCTGAAATTGAAATTGACGTCAAATTGATGATCTGGGGTGAAATTGACGTCAAATTGATGATCTGGGGTGAAATTGACGTCAAATTGATGATCTGGGGTAAAATTGACGTCAAATTGATGATCTGGGGTTATCCTTTAGGTGAGCCAAGGCCACTGAAGAGGCCCTCAAGGGTATGAGTTTGGAGGATGAGGTCGCACTCCAAGGAGCTCTGAGGTCCTGGCTGGAGAGGTCATCTGATAACAAACCTGAAGACGCCAGCCCTGAATATAGAGTGGCTAACTCAGAACTTACTGTACAAGGTGTGTAGTGTATGTTTTTTGGACATGCATGGTGTGTAGTGGACGTTTTTGGGTGTACATGGGGTGTAGTGTATGTTTTTGGGTGTACATGGGGTGTAGTGGACGATTTTGGGTGTACATAGGTATAGTGGACTTTTAGGTGTACATGGTGAGTAGTGTATGTTTTTGGGTGTACATGGTGTGTAGTGGACGTTTTTGGGTGTACATGGGGTATAGTGTATTTTTTTGGGTGTACATGGGGTATAGTGTATGTTTTTGGTGTACATGGGGTGTAATGTATGTTTTTGGTGTACATGAGGTGTAGTGTACGTTTTATGGTGTACAAGAGTAAGTAGTGTACTTATTGGTGTAGAGAGAATGTACTGTGAAGTGTAAAGTCAGAGGTTAAGTTAGATTAAGTTAGAATTAAATTAACCTAACCTAACAACCTAGATCATCCTAGAAATAAACATATCTAAAGCATTATAACAAACCTTATTTCTCTCCTCCCAGACCATCCTGGGTATAATAGGTGACATGCACCTTAACTACCAGCCACTAACATCATTAGACCAAACTCCAGTGCTAAACAAACATTTGACCAGAATACTGATGTTTGGCCACTCAAGTTTAAATGAAGTGTTTGGCCTCCTAGCTGAACCTGTTATGAAACTTGAGGCTCCTATACAGTGTAGTGGTGAGTGTGTACAGTGTAGTAGGTTTAAATGAGTGTTTGGCCTGGCTAGACCTGTTCGTAGAAACTCGAGCTCCCTATACAGTGTGGTGAGTGTATACAGTAGTGGTTTAAATGAAGTGTTTGGCCCCTAGCTTCAGACCACACCATTATGTTTTGAGGGCTCCTACAGTGTATTAATTTGTGAGTGTACAGTGGTAAGTTTAAATAGAGTGTTTGGCCACTAAGCTAGACCTATAAACTCAGGGGCTCTATACAGTGTAAAGTGGTGGAGTGTACAGTGTAGTAGAGTTTAAATAGAAGTGTTTGGCCCCCTAAGCTGAACCTGTTATAAACTCGAGGCTCCTATACAGTGTAGTGGTGAGTGTGTACAGTGTAGTAGGTTTAAATGAAGTGTTTGACCCCTAAGCTGAACCTGTTACATGAAACTCGAGGCTCCTATACAGTGTAGTGGTGGAGTGTACAGTGTGGTAGAGGTTTAAGTAGAGTGTTTGGCCTCTAGCTGAACCTGTTATGAAACTCGAGGCTCCTACTACAGTGTATAGTGGTGAGTGTGTACAGTGTAAATGCAGAGGTTTAAATGAAGTGTTTGGCCACTAGCTGAACCTGTTATGAAACTCGAGGCTCCCTCCATACCGAGCAGTGGTGAAGAGTGTACAGTGTAGTGGGTAGAGCCCTTTTCAGAATGTATTAAGTTTAAATAGAGTGTTTGACCCCTAAGCTGAACCTGTTATGAAACTCAGGCTCCTACTGAGGTGTAGTAGTGAGGTGTACAGTGTAGTAGGTTTAAATAGAAGTGTTTGGCCACTAGCTGAACCTGTTATGAAACTCAGGAAATCCCTATAC